ACACACAATATAAAAACACATTCAAAACAATTTATTTCCTAGGTTCTATTACATAGCTCCATTTCATAGCATTTTCTTGACTCTTCTTTAACTTTGTTTTTGTGCTCCAAGTTGTTGTTCTCATGTCGTGATCATCAAAACTCTTTAAGCTTCAAGCTCTCCTAAGCTCAACACAATCCACTGTGCAGACACCATTAGTAGAGTTAAAGCCTTTACCTGCACATTTGAAGTATGCTTATTTAGAGGATAATCAAGGGCTTCCTGTCATTATAGCTAGCATTCTTGAATCTGATCAAGAGGAGAGACTGTTGCAGGTTTTGAGAGACCACAGGAAAGCCATTGGTTGGACTCTTGCTGACTTTCCTGGGATTAGTCCTGCCATATGCATGCATCGGATTCTACTGGAGGATGAGTTTCGACCTGTGAGGCATCCACAGAGAAGACTCAATCCTACTATTTTAGATGTGGTGAAGAAAGAGGTCACAAAGTTATTGGCAGTAGGTATAATTTATCCTATTTCTAATAGCAAGTGGGTTAGTCCTGTGCAGGTGGTTCCCAAGAAGACTAGGATGACTGTGGTGAGGAACCAGGATGCTGAGTTGGTTCCAACCAGAGTTCAAAATAGTTGGCGAGTTTGTGTGGACTATAGAAGACTTAATCAGGCAACTCGCAAGGACCACTTCCCTCTTCCATTCATCGATCAGGTGTTGGAGAGGTTGGCAGGTAAATCACACTATTGCTTCTTGGATGGATTTTTAGGGTACATGCAGATTCATATTGCACCAGAGGGCCAACACAAGACCACATTCACCTGTCCATTTAGCACATTTGCTTACACTAGGATGCCATTTGGTCTATGCAACGCTCCGGCCACCTTTCAGAGGTGTATGGGAAGTATATTTTCTGATCTATTGGAGAGTTTCATGGAGGTGTTTCTTATTTAAATGATAATGCATGAAGGAGGTCTTTCAACAAAGACTTGGTAACCACTCCTTTGAACGTGAAATCATAGTGTCTCTTTTCGTAATTTTTTACGATGTGACAAAAGTCACAATAATTAGAGTTCATTAGTCTTTGTGAGAAATCTCCTAGTGATCCTAGGAATGTATATGGTATGCATGTCCTTCCTTTTCATTCTCTCTCCTTCTTGCTTCTATTTTTTTGATTTTTTTATTTTGGAAAATGCATGATGCCCCTTTTTTTAAGAAATGATGTATGCTTCTCGCAGATCTTATTTCCACACTAGGTTTTCTCTAATGATAATGCATTTTTATTTTTGTGTTTTTCTTTACCTTAGGGGAATTATATAAAAAAAAAAAACAAAAATGAATGGTTTAAATAAACAAAATGCATCAAACATATGCTCATACAAAGTAACCCATGAACAGTCACGTCCAAATCCTTAGTCTGTGGTCTGTGTTAAGAAAAGGGCATTGTATAGGATAGTTCTAATCTCACTAGTCTTAAGGCCCCCAAGGTACCCCCATTATAGGGACCTAGTATCTCTGTCACCATCACCTGGAAAATTCTAAGGTCTGTCACAGTATTTCAGGCTAGAGTAACCGATTATCACCTTGAGTGTGATTTTTGACAAGGCTCACAAGCTCCAAGGCCAAACTTGGGTCAGTCTTACATCAACCACTCCCTATGTTTAATACCCTGATGCCCCCGGGTGTAGGGGGACTGTTGTGTGCTATTGATGGAAATCTAATTCCCAATGATCCCTTTGGAAGAGGTAAGACTAAGAAGGGTGAAGGGTGATCCAAGGATGCTCACACTTGAAGACCATTGGGCCTTTAACTAGGTCCATAGTTAGGAAGCTAGAGGAGGCTTCTAAAGAGGAGGTGCTTCTTAGACCTTTTCTCATCATGAGCATTGATTATGGTTCCTTTTATTAGTCTCTTAAGTTTCCATTGTACATATTTGTATAGTTGTTTTCTTGTACCTTGTATATAGTAGATACTTGTATAGGTGCATTTTTGCCTTTGTATTTGTGAGGCACTTTATTTCCTTTTTAGTAGCTATTGTATATTGTTTCTAGGGTAGGTTACTTGGACACTTTGACTCCATTTAACCTAACCTAGAAATACATTCCTTTCTTAAGTTTTTATAGTAGGAGTGGCATTAGCAAAATAGAGAGTGTCCTTAGTAAGCTAGAG